GGGAAATTGAAATCAATCATCCTGTTATTTTAGGAACTGAACAAGGCAACTCATGTAATCTTAGCCACCATCCCAAATAAAGACAAATCATAGCCAGGCGGTGGTGGTGCATGCCTTTAATTTCAGCACTCAGGAGGCATAGGTGGCGGATCACCAAGTTCAAGGCCAGCCTGGTATACTTAGTGAGTATAAAAAACAAAAACCAAAAAACAAGCAAAGCAACAACAACAAAAAATCAGATCACTGCCCAAGGTCGTATACTAATAAAATCATAAGACAAAATTTTAATTGAGTCAGGAATGTGTCTTCCCCAGAATTCAGGTTCTGTCTGAGAATACATCTGTTCTTCTAGGAAAATTATATCAAAGCTTATTTTGAACTCATTTTAATAACTCTTGATAATTCTGAATACTGGCAAATTATGTTAAGCAGCAGTCTTTCTTGAAAAACAATAAACCAAAACCCCATTCTACACTGCATTCATGTGTCAGTTTACTAGTATGGTTTAAGCATGAAATGTTCCCATAGGCTTTTGGGTTTAATAGTTCTCAGCTGGTGGTGCCATTTTGGGAGATTACAGAAACTTTGGGAGATGGGGCCTTACTGGGTGCTGCCTTGAAGGCGCTATCTGGTCTGCTTCCCAGCTCACTGCCCTGTCCATCATGAGGTGAAGAAGTTCCTTTACCACATACTTCTGCTAACATGATATTCTGTCTAGAATGTTTGCCAAGCAAGCATGGACCAAACCCTCCAAAACTGTGAGCCGAAAGAAGTTCTTTGCAGTGATATTTTGTTTGTAAACTAACAAAGTTTGCCTGAAGATCAGAGTGCAGAGATAGCCATAGAGGTCAGGTAGTGGTGGCACGTACCCAGTACTCAGGAGACAGAGGCAGATGGTTCTCTGTGCTACACAAGATTGACTCTGTCTAAAGGAGGAGCAGAGTTCACGGTCCCAGCACTTGGGATCCCAGGCCTTTAATCCCAGCACTAGGGAGTGGAGTCAGGAGTAATATGCCGGTGGAGAGGGGACATAAGGTGGGAGGAGACAGGCGCTCAGATGCAGAATGTAGTTTCAGGTTTCGTGGAGACAGAATCGACTTTTTGGTTTGAGGTAGAGGTAAGGGCTCGTGGCTGGCTATTCTGCTGCTCTGATCTTCAGCAAGCTTTATTTTTTTTTAAACTTTATTTTATGTGCATTGGTGTTTTGTGTGCATTCATGTCTGTGTAAGGGTTTTAGATCCTTGGAACTGGAGTTATGGACAGTTGTGAACTGCCATATGGGTGCTGGGAATTGAACCCGGGTCCTCTGGGAGAGCAGTCAGTGTTCTCAACCACCGGGTCATCTCTCCAGCCCGCAAGCTTTATTTGTTAGATTACAAACAAAATATCACCACAGTTCTTCCCCTGCAAAGTCCTTTCTGTCAGATACCTAGTCATAGCCATGCTAAGGTACCTTCTCTAAGCGCACTGTGCTAGCTGCTCAAGATTCAGACAGGACTCTGGTCCTTGCCTAAGCAGTTTTTGTAGATTATTTTACACACATTTATTGCTTATTTTATGTGTATTATTTATCTATTTACAGCACTATGGATTAAAGTCAGGGCTTCTCGCATACAGGAAAGCACTCTTATCACCAAGCTACATTTCCATCCCTCTTTTTACTTTTGATTTTAAGACAGGATTGCTGTGGGATGATGCTCTTATGCACTGTCAAGATTTGTCACTAATAGTAATTAAATAAAATGTTGATTGACCAATAGCCAGGCAGGAAGTATAGGTGGGGGTGACCAAACTAAGAGAATTCTGGGAAAAGAAAAGGCAGAGAGTTGCTCACCACCCAGACACAGAGGAAGCAAGATGAGAATGCCTCACTGAGAAAAGGTACCAAGCTACATGGCTAACCATCGACAAGAATTATGAGTTAATTTAAGTTGTAAGATCTAGTTAATAATAAGCCTAAGATAATAGGCCAAACATTTTATAATTAATATAAGCCTTTGTGTGTTTCTTTGGGACTGAATGGTTGTGGGACCAGGTGGGAAAGTTCCTTCTACACAGGATCCCACTAAATTTCCCAGGCTAACTTTGAACTCATTTTGTAGACCAGGTTGACTTTGAACTTTTGGTTTTCCTGCCTTAGTTTCCTAAGTAGCTACAGCAATGGGCCTGCACCCCTAGGTCTGGCTAGTCATTTAAAGACCAAAACATTCTTTCTGAAAGATTCCAATGGATATTGTAATTATTTATCCAGATCCACCACATTCTAATCTCCTGTTTGGGGAAGTTTATTTACTTTTTGTTGTTGTTTTAATGATTGATTGACTGATTCTTTGATTTTATATCCCAACTGCTGTTTCCCCTCTCTCCTCTTCTCCCAGGTTCCCTATCCCTCTGCCCCCTCCCATATGGTTCTCCATTTCTGTTCAGAAAGGGGCAGGCCTCCTATGGACATCAACAAAGCACAGTATATCAAGTTGCAGTAAGACTAAGCACCTCCCCTTGTATTAAGGCTGGGCAAGGCAACTCAGTATGAGAATTAAGGTCGCAAAAGCCAGAAAGAGTCAGAGACAGCCCCTGCTTCCACTGTTAGGAGTCTCATAAGAAGACCAAGCTACACAACTGTTCCATATATGCAGAGGACCTAGGCTAGACCTGCACACACTCTGGTTGTCAATTCAGTCTCCATGAGTTCCTATGTGCCCAGGATAGTTGGTTCTGAGGGCTTTCTTGTGGTATCTTTGACCCCTCTGGCTCCTACAATCCTTCTTCCTTCTCTTGAGCAGGATTCCCTGGACTCAGCCTAATGTCTGGCTGTGGGTCTCTGTCTCTGTTTCAGTCAGTTGCTGGATAAAGCCTGTCTGATGACCATTGGGCTAAGCACCAGTGGAAGGACATCTAATCTTATAATTCTGCAGGGTCTTGGCTTTAAGTCCTTGGACAGCACATATGAAGGCTGTTAGCACGGTGGTGGTACCAGAAAACGTTCTGAGATGTATCTAGGCTTGTTGTGATCTGATATATCACCCGTACATTGATATGCTGAAAACCCAGCTTCCAAGCTCATAGAATTGCCTTAAAGAAGCAGTTAAATCATGAGGATTTCACTTCATGATTGAGATTAGTGCCCTTACAAATGAGACCGCCCCCCCCCCCAAGGAGCCTGGGAGCATCTTGTGCCATGTGAAGCTTCACTGAGATGATGTTCTTGAACAGAGCCTCACCAGACCCCGAGTCTGCAGAGCCTTGATCTTGAATTTTTCAGCTTTCAGACAGCAGAGAAATAAAATCCTGTTGTTTAGAAGACAGCCGTATTACATCATCTTGTGCATTCTTCCACACATGCTGTCTCCTCAGTGTTTGTACGTGTACTATTTTTAGAATTTTAAGGTGGGGTATCTTGGGCCTGTTTTCCCAGGTGCTCAGCACACTCAATCATATTAATTCAGGTTTCTTTAGTTAGAAAACTTTCCCGATCTCCTTCGGGAAATAGCAGTCCTCTCTCTCACCCACAAGCTCTGCTTTATTTTCAGTACAGGACCCACTACACTGGACATATTGGATACGGAAAATGGGCTTGCTCTTCCAGAATGAGGGTTTAGAGCTGTCTGGGGTCCAGGTGAATAAACTAGTTGTTACTGGAAGTAAAAGAAACATTTGCTGGGGAAGACCAAGATTCTGGGTGTAATAATTCCTGCTTTTCTACCTGACTGCTGGGCAGAGCATTTTTCTCTACCCACCCGCAATGCATCGTTTTCTACATCAACATTCTTAAACGGGCTCCTCTGCTTCTAACTCCAGAGCAGAAAGAGAAAGGAGGAACGCGCAGCTGAGTAGGTGTGGGTGGGAAAAGCAATGCCTAGGTCAGTTAGAAGGAGATGCTATTACCTGTGGTCAGAAAGAAGTAGACAAGTATGAGGGACTGAGGGATATGTGGGTCTTAAAAAATGCTCAGGGGCGGGTGACAGGGAAATGTCTCCGACAATGCCATTGTAGTCCTTGGAGAGTCCTGTGGGAGGATCCTTTGAGGGCAGGAAAAGAACAAAATAAAAACTCAAGTAGTCTCTGAAAAACAACGACAATCCCCTGGGAGAGGTGCTCAAATGTCCTGGGCTATGCAGAGCGGCTAGATCCCTGGAGATGGATTCCACTTAGCACATGAGGAGGAAAGGCAACAGGACAGGGGTAGGGCCATGGGAAGGTGGCAAGCTCCCCCTCTTTGGCAGTTGTGTCTCCTTTGCCAGAAAACCATCAATCTACTGGACCTTCTCAGGGCCAGACTAAGCATGTGGCACCCAGAAAATTACAAGCCCTGAACAACCACATTCCTTCTCCACGGGATTGGCTTCTTTCTCAAGACTTGATCCTGACGTTTCCTTCTAGAACATCCATGGCTAGGGCGCCCCTGTCCTATTGCTTCATCGACAGTCCCGGCGGGCGGGGAAGGGGCAGTCCCTCCCACACCAGCGAACCTAAGAGCGGCACCGACTGCTTTTCCGGCGTCACGTTAGTCACCCTGCACCTCGCAAGACTCTTGCAAGTTCCTGGCTGGGTTTGGAACTAAAACTATTTCCAGAGGCTTTGACATAGCCACGTTGGCTACACAAAACTGCATCTGCGACAAGACAAGGCCATCAAGGCACAGACATTACGCTAAACTCTTGAAAACAGTCTGGGGAAGGCCCTCACTGCTCCTTGCTCAGCGTGCGGTGGAAGATGCTGTGGGACGCGATGTGACAGTCTCCGGCTCTCCAGCCCCAACCAGACCCGTGGGATCCGAAACGAGTCCAGCATAGCGGAGGGTGGACGTGGACCAGCCGCGCCCCACGCAGGCGCGGGAGCACAGAGGACGTGGCAGGGCGTGGCCCTGCTAGGGGGCGTGGCCGGACTTGAGATTTAGGGACGTGTCCTTGGTGGGGGCGTGGGTGCCGCAAGGAAAGGATCGTAGTTAGGGGTGCGGCTAAGTGGCTGGGACAAGGCAGAGCTTGCGGTGCTTCGTAGCTGGGGGCGGGGCCTTGGTGGGTGTGCGGCCTTAGCAGAGGCGTGGCGTGGCGGGGCAGGGTCGGGCTGGGCTGGCCAGGGCGTTTCCGTTGCACCGAGCCGCGGAGTACTGCCCTGTACCTCGGCGTGTGCATCGGTTCCCTTCTCGTCCGCAGTCTGCGCTCTATAGTCCTGGTGAGTGGCCGTGGTCCCGGGAGCGGCTCTTCCACCGAGGGCGTGGGGTGGCGAGGGACTCTTTCTGGGGAAGGAGACCAGGGCTCCTGTGATCTTCTCTCTCTCTCTCTCTTCCCGCAGCTCCGGCTCGCTCCTGCCCACAGCAGCATGGCCCAGGTAAGCCGTGCGCCAGCGACCGGGTCGATCGGGACCCTCTCCAGAAACAGCAGAGTTGGGGGAGATGAAGCTGCTTTCGGAGTCTCTTGGTCTCCGCTTTCCCTTCCACGGTCTGCTCTGTGCCCTCTCCGTGACCTCTTGGTGTCCCCCTCTGTATCCGCTCTCCTGTTTCCCTCGTCCCGGAGAGTCCAGAACCAGCTGGTCTGTACATGTGAATCGTGACGCCCCAAATCCAGAGTTGCCAAAATTAGAACCCGAGCAGGAACAGTTCTCTTGGTCATGTGAGGCGAACGCCTTTTGGCTTCCCTTATTTTTTTTTTTTTTAATTTTTCCCGCAGTTTCCTGTGTTTGAATACTGGGTGTGCACGGGCGGTTTCCATGGTGTTTCAAGGGCGCTTAGTCCAGCACTCTGCGCAGTTTGTTTAAAAAAAAACGGACCATTCATCAGTCCTGCTTTCTGCCCTGCTTCCTCCGCTAAAGGCACTGAACCAAAGTAATGAACTCGCGAGACGAGTTCTGAATTGAATTTGCCTTGGGACTCTTTCAGAAGTTGATTACCAAATAGGTTTTTGTTTTTGATACTGTTTTTTTTAAAAAAAAAATTTCGTTATATTTGTTAAGAATGTACCAAAGAAAAGCTAGTTTATATAGGAATTTGTTTTTTGTTTTGTTGTTTTTCAAGATGGGGTTTCTCTGTGTAGCCCTGGTTGCCCTAGAACTGGCTCCTCCTAATCAGGCTGGTCTTGATCTGCCTGCCTCTGCCTCCCAGCTGCTGAGTTTAAAGCTGTGCGTCACCATCGCCTGGTTTGTATAGTAATTTTAAAAGTTGATCATATGAAAACTTGATCATATCATCCCTAAAATATTCCACCCTGAGGCCTGGGTGGCTACACATCATAGAAGGTGGAAGCAGGGGGATCGGGAGTTAAAGGTCATCTTTGGTCATCAAGGGCCTTGGCTATAGGAGATTGTCTTAAAAACCTAAAGAATAAAACGTTTCCACTCCTAAACTAATTTCACACATCTTGCCAAAACTGACTGACTTGTCAGAGTCCCGACAATCTTTAGCCGACTCAAACATTGCTCCTGTGCATACACATGCTCTCCCATTAGTTCGGTAGTCAGGTAGCTTTAGTACAGTCGGATACGATTTCCTGGCCTGTTCCAAGAGAAAATGGAGGGATTAAGACGACTTTGGAACTTTGTGAAGTTTCTCCAGTGCTGCTATTTGTCGGCCTTCGCATTTCCCTAGTTCTCTCATGCTCCCTCAAGGGGACTGTGGGCTTAGGTCCTCAGCATCAAGTGTGTTATTGTGGGATTAGCTTTACTTTTCGGAATCGCGGTTCTCTTCGTGTGTGCTGGTGTGGTGACAGACATGGTGGTTTGCAAGCCTCTCAGAGAAGCTTCCTCTGTCCTTGCTGACTTGGCTTATTCTTCAAATCTCTCGTAAATTTCCCAAAGATGTCTCAAATGTTTTTGTTTGGACAAGGTCCCCATGTGTAGTCCAGGCTGGAGTAGAGTTTGCCTGCACTCTAAGAGTGGGCTTCCTCTTTTAATAGAATTGGAAACATTGTTGTATGTTGAACTTTCTGCAGCTTCGTCAGGAATCTGTGGAAACCACAGAAGTAAATCATTCTGTTAAGAACATTTCAGATTAGAATAGTGTTTGGTATCTTATTTTTGCGTTTGGTGATGAACAGAACGTGTACATTGTACAGCTGCTATCTCCCCTCTCCCTAGTGGTTTTGGGGACCAGCTCTCAAAGGGCTCACTCTGGCCCTTTACTCACTATGTAGCCGAGGATGACTTTGAACTCCTGGTTCTCCTGCCTCTCCCTCCCCAGCCGCTGGGATTTCAGGTGTGCACCACCATGCCTGGCTCTAACTGCGCTCTGCTGTCTGAATCCTTTGGGATCTAGTGACACTGGAGGAAAGCTGCAGCTTCTCGTTAGGTTTCACAGTTTCTATGGAAGGACTTTTGTTGACTTAAGGAGATAGGAACCAGAGACTTCCACTCCATGACATCTGGAGAGCAATGGGATCAGATTTCGATCTTAGAGGTGTGTACTTCAGCAGTTAAAAATTCATTGTTTAAACATTAGTGTCTCTTGCTTATTGAAAACTTGAAATGTAGCTTCCCACATAGTAGTAATTCTTCATATTTATGGACTTGAAATACATACTTATATATGAATAATCTCCTTTTATTTGTGTTGGGAAAGCACCATTTATGAAAGTGGAGAAATCCAGAACCACCATGTTTAACCATGGTGGTTTAGCCATGTTTAGGTAGAACACGAGTATGACCATCTAGCTAAGAACTGACTACAAAGAAGTGGCTGATCTCTGGTGGGACCGTGGATTTCTATCCCTCCCCTTCAGAGCCATCCTCTCCCCTTTCCCACTCTTTCCTCTTTGCCCCTTATATACATATTGTTGTATTTTTCAGTTACATATTTTACTTTTTGTTAGACAAATTTCTTCAACAAGTTCATGAATGTAAACGGTGCATTCCGGTTTCTCTTGCCTTGCTTCTAGCTCCCTCCCAGATCCCTCCCCGCTCTCCCAACCCCACCGCCCCTCTACAGGTTTTATTCCCCCCACATTCTTGTCTTTTTGTCTTAAAACCAAAGTGACTTAAACCAGGGCTGTCTGTGTGGTCCTGAGTTTGTAACAGCCCATGGAGCCTGGGGGGCGAGGGCTCACCAGGGTAATTTCCTTTTTCAGTAACATTTTACCTTAAGCCTATGAGAACTGAGGCAGAAGATCACACTGAAAGGTATATAATTTGTATTAGCATGCTTGGCAAATACACTCAGAACTGGAAGAATCCACAGAGTAACACCACGTGACCCGCTTCTTCATTGGTCCTATTCCTGGTCCCTTAGCATCAATGAACTGATTGTTTGATGGAGGAGATAGTTTAGTGATGGCTTTCTTAGTCTTCCTCAAAGAATACACCGTGGCTAATTGTATCTTTTATGATACCTAGGAAAAGTTTAAATTACAAATAAACTCTCATGTAAGCAGTTAGTGGACACTAGTTATTTTTAAATGTGTGCTTGAAAATCTTATTTGAATGAGTTGTATGATATAAACCACAATGTCCCTAATATTTTAGCACAACAGTGCCGCTACATGAGTCACGATTTACTATGGTTTTTGGATTAGTAGTAACATTTTCTACTATAGTAAATTTAAATGCAAACTCATTCAAATTATTTATTAAGAATTAACAAAGCTGTCAATGTTGCCTGAATGATCTTTATATAGTAAAATATGTGTGAGTCATTATATCTTTTTCTACATTTAAATTCTTATATAAATGTAATTTTTTCTTTACATCTTAGTAATGTTTCTTCAGTTAGACTTAACATATATTAGGCTAGATTTTTATTAGGCTACATTTTAAAAATTGGGTTCTAGAGCTTTTTTTTTTCTTGAATTTTATGCTGTTGTCTTAGTTAGGGTTACTATTGCTGTGATGAAACACCATGACCAAAAACAACTTGGGGAGGAAAGGGTTTATTTCACTTTCAGCTTTTTTTTTTTTCTAATTTAAAGTAGTGCGGGCAGGGGCTCACACAGGGCAGGAACCTGGAGGCAGCAGCTGATGCAGAGGTCGTGGAACAGTGTTGCCTACTGGCTTGCTCATCATGGCTTGCTCAGTCTGAATCCTGAACCGTCAACCCAGGGTTGAAACCACCTTCAATGGGCTGGGCCCTCCTACATCAGTCACTAATTAAGAAAATGTGCTACAGGCTTGCCTACAGCCTGATATTTTGGAGGGATTTTCTCTGTTGAAGTTCCCTCCTCTGCAGTGACCCTAGCTTGTGTCAAGTTGATGTAAAAGTAGCCAGCACAACTGACCCCCTATCAACCTGACACACAAACATCACTGCTAAGCTACAGCCTTTCTTTTCTTGTTCATCCCCAGGACCACACATAAATATCAACATATATATGTATACAATATATACATTTCAGATTTTAAAAAATCTGACAGTCTTTAAAAATTCGTTCTCTTTAAAAATACTAAGTCTTCCTGGCGTTGGTGGCATATTCCATTAGTTTCCAGCACTCAGGAGGGGGAGGCAGAGGCAGGCGGATCTCTGTGAGTTTGAGGCCAACCTGGTCTACAGAGTACATTCCAGGACAGCCAAGGTTCCACCGAGAAACCCTGTCTTGAAGTGCCCCACAGAAAAGTCACCTTCCCAAAGAAGCAACAGCAAAAATGCAACTCAGTCTCTTGTAAAAGCCAAAGTCGGCAAAACTTCAAAATCTCTTTAAAAGTTCAAGGTCTCTCGATTGTGGGATCATCTAAAAATCAAAAATCAGTTAAATACTGTCTTACTTTGAGAAGAAAGAAAAAGGGTGCAGGCAATTTGAACAAAGTGAAACCAAACTCCAAAAGTGTAACTCCATGCCCAATGTCTGGATCCACTCAGGATCTTCTGAGATCCTCCAAAGGGTGTGGTCACTTCCCCAGCACACAGAGCTTCTCTTCCAAGCTCTGCCTGGCTCTCCTCCACCTCTGCTGCTGTTGTCCCGTGGTGCCGGATCTCCAAAAATGATGGAGTCCCTTGCTGTAGCTGAGCTGCACTTTTACCAGTAGCCTTCCCTGGGCTCTCAACAGGACTCCAACCCTGCCTCACAGTGCCAAGGCTCAGCTGCCCTCCATGACCCCTTCATACCTTCAAAACCAGTACCTCTTGGATGACTCTTATATTACCAAGTTCAGCTGCCAGCGTAAGATACTACCTTGGCCACCTCTGGACCACAGTTTCTGTGTGCAGACACTGAGGAAACACTTCTACAATGCTTCACCTCAATGATGCTGGTCTCTTCTTACTCATAGCTGATTTGTTAGCCCCAGCTGACCAGCATCCATTGTCCTTGCAAAGCAAAGATTTTACTTCAGTGGTTCTGGTCTTTTGTTAACCACAGCCAGTTCTGCTCCAGTTGATCAGACACTAGAGACTCTACTTTCTACCCAGTAGA